CCTACAGGTCATCAGTTCTGTGTTCTGGAGAACATCTTGTGCTATAATGATTGCTCTTCGGCGTGCGCGGCGGTATGTAATGGGCATCGCAATCATTTTCATGCATAGGCGACCCAAATGTGTGTTTATGTTCATACGTGCATATATGTGGGGCTGGGGGGGGGGGGGGCCTCAATTTTTTTTTTGGAGGGGGGGATGTTATGTGCTTGGTAGTGGTGCACCAAAATTAAAATTTTGGTACCAAAAATTCAGGATGCATTTGGCCAAAAACCAAAGTGGACATTTTTTAAAATGTAATTTATGTGCCTATTTTGCATTGAAGTCACTAGGGGGCGTTCTTGCATGATTAGAGTCTATGGAACGTGACTTTGCATTGAAGTCACTAAGGGGTGTTTTTGCATGATTAGAGTCTATGGGACATGACTTTGCATTGAAGTCACTAAGGGGTGTTCTTGCATGATTAGAGTCTATGGAACGTGACTTTGCATTGAAGTCACTAAGGGGGTGTTCTTGCATGATTAGAGTCTATGGGACATGACTTTGCATTGAAGTCACTAAGGGGCGTTCTTGCATGATTAGAGTCTATGGGACATGACTTTGCATTGAAGTCACTAGGGGGTGTTTTTGCCTGATTAGAGTCTATGGAACGTGACTTTGTATTGAAGTCACTAGGAGGCGTTCTTGCATGATTAGAGTCTATGGGACATCACTTTGCATTGAAGTCACTAGGGGGCGTTCTTGCATGATTAGTCTATAGAACGTGACTGCATTGAAGTCACTAGGGGGCGTTCTTGCATGATTAGTCTATAGAACGTGACTTTGCATTGAAGTCACTAGGGGGCGTTCTTGCATGATTAGTCTATGGAACGTGACTTTGCATTGAAGTCACTAGGGGGTGTTTTCGCATTAAAGTCAACGTGGACGAGATCTTGCTTTGAAGTCACTAGGGGGCATTTCTGCATTGAAGTCAATGTGGATGCGACTTTGCATGAATCAGAAACTTTTTTTTTTCTTTTTTTACTGGGGGCTGTGGAAGCAATTGGGCAGTAGCACAGCCGCCCAACAGCTTCCATCAGCAGCAGACATTCTGACACTGTGTCACTGATGCCCCAGTGACACCTATACAGTGATCAATGCTGAGAAAAAAAAAAAGGGAGCACAGACACTGTACTAATGGCACTAGGTAGGAAAGGGTTGTATGTATGAATGTGAGTTAGGGACCTTAGATTGTACGCCCCTTGAGGGTTAGGGACCTTAGATTGTACGCCCCTTGAGGGTTAGGGACCTTAGATTGTACGCCCCTTGAGGGTTAGGGACTGATGTGAATGTACAATATATATGTAAAGTGCTGTGTAAATTGACAGCGCTATATAAGTACCTGAAATAAAGGGTTAACATGAGAAGTGATCAAAGGGTTATATGTAAGGGGTTTTTTTTTTTTTGTTTTTTTTTTTTTACTAGGGGGCGGTGTCTGTGTGCTTCACTAAGTTCACTGATTGGGGTGGCTGTGCTGTGCACAGCCATCCCGAGCAGTGTGCCCGAGCTGACAGGGAGGAAGACTGTAAACAAAAAAAACAGTCTTCCTCCCCAGCGGAGATGCTCGGTAATCACCAGGCACCGGCAGGGAATTATCAGCCAGGACCTGGTGACTGACAGCTGCAAATGGCAGTGCAGGTAGGGCGCACGCACCCCCTAGCCGGAAATGCAAAATCACGTATATATACACACACATGGTTTTGCGCACCCATGCATACTTCTGCTATAGGGCGGTTGGGAAGCAGTTAATGAGCTCAACCTCCCGAAAATGTTGAAACCGTTCGGCAACTTGTGCTTGATAACCGTCGGTGAACAATCCACAACATTGCTGCTATTGTCGGTGCATCATATGGAACAGTCCAGGCAATCCTCACCACTGATTTGCACATGCATTGTGTGGCTGCCAAATATGTCCCCAGGCTGCTGACCCAGGAGCAGAAGAATCACTGTGTTGAAGTCTGCCAAGACCTCCTTCACCGTGTCATTCGTCGAGGATCATTACTGGTGACAAAACTTGGGTGTACGGGGTTTCACGCAGAATTTCACGTTCGCTCTTTGTCCTACCTTGCTGTCCATGATGAAATAGCAGACAAGTCAGAATAGCACCAGTTGCACAGCTCCTGATGTACAAAGGACAATGTCTTTTGGGCACACTGACTTATGAAGGTCGATGCTCCCTGTGACTGTGCACACACCCTTGTGCTGCTGTTGGCATGTTACAAAACTCTTGAAACTTTTTGATACCTCCTCCTATGCAGTGCTAATTTTTAAAAAGAGTCCTATATATGTTTTCTGAGCAGAGGGGTGCGGCTTCGAATTACAGGCTCATTGACTTAAATGGGAATGATTCTAAAATCGAAGGTCATCAGTTGTGAACATGATTTCAGCCATCAATTCACATCGGAACCGCTTCTAAATTGCACCTGAACCGCTAAACTGCTTTGAAAATTCGCACTGAAAACAGACGAAAACAGACAAAAAAAAAAAAAAAAAAAAAAAAAATCGCACGTGAGTGAACCCCTATTGAGAACGCATTTATTCACAAGACAAAGAAATATTTCAAGGTCTCTAAGGAACCTTTCCATAGGCAATCAGTGACATGTAAGAGGCAGAAGGGGTCACCAGGGGCCCTTAATACATCACCATGATGATGAATTTGTGGTTTGCGTCTCCGGTTTTGGTGCGTTCTCCCCGATCGGTATCACTTGATCCAGGGTTCGGTGTTCTTTCTCTCTCGGCCTGGAGTTGCTCTCCTCCGATGGTGACCATTGCAGCTTACTCTTGGGCATTGGGCCTGTTGGCCAAGATCCAAGTGTAGCACCTGTCCAGTAGGGGTGCTCCGCCATCATTCTTGCCTTTCGGTGAGGATGGTTGGCTGCATAGTGCCCCTGATGGTATGATGGGGGCTCTGAAGGCTAGTACTGGCTGGAACAGAAAAGATGGCGCCCACAGGCTCTTGGGGCCCAGGAGTAATTCCCCCGGGAAAATGTTCAGTTCCTCCTGATCTGAATGGATCTACCTTGTCTGGCCGGGTAGGCAGAGTCCTCGGAGCTGTGCCTCCAAGGAGTGGTCACCCCAGGGGTGCTCCTAGTAACAGGTGTGGGACCCCAAACGTGTAAAAAGTGCAGAGGGTCACAGGCCTCGGGGGTACTACTGCAGGACCACTTATTTATTTTTTCCTCCACGGTTTGTGCCACTTTCACTTGTGTGTGTTTTTCTTTTCTCACTAGGATGGAGGGTGTGCGTCCTAGGGTCTGCCCGGGTCTATGGGGAGGATGTATGGCCCTTAGGTTCCTTCCTTCCGAGAAGAGCTTCTTGGCCTGGTACTTGGTGGTCGCCTTCGGCTGGCCACAAGGAAAGGGGTCTGCTAGGCCTTTTGGCTAGATTGGCCATGTTAGAAATCCTTTGTCCTGTGAGGAGCCTTGCACCCCCGGGGATCAGGGTAGAGGTCCTACCCCTTCAGGGCGGGGTACAAAAGCACACCCGTAAGTGCACTTTTTGTGTGGGTTCTACACTTGCACCGTTTTTTTGTACACTTTCCGGATTTTTTTTTTTTTTTTTCGTTTTTTCATGTCATTGGGGACTTAAAAAAAAAAGAAAAGGAGGTTGATTTTCAGGCTCTTCCCTCTAATTACATTGTCAGGTTCCACCTCAAGGCTGGGGGGGGGTATCAACCCCCCCCCCCCCTTCTTTAATGTTCTTTTTTAGCCATCTGTGTCCCCATTGGAGGGAACCCTTGGATGTTCCCATTGGGGAGATTCCCTTCACTTTCTGTCCCATAGTGACACCAGGAAGTGAGAAACCCCTGGTTGTCCCCACTGGGGAGATTTTCTTCATTCCCTGTCCCAGAGCCAGAGCAGGAAGTGAGAGGAAACCCCTGGTTGTCCCATTGGGGACATTCCCTTCACTTCCTGCTCCAGAGTGACACCAGGACATGAGAGGGAACCCCTGGTTGTCCCCACTGGGGAGATTTTCTTCACTCCTTGTCCCAGAGCCACAGCAGGAAATGAGAGGGAACCCCTGGTTGTCCCCAATGGGAAGATTTTCTTCACTTCCTGTCCCAGAGCCACAGCAGGAAGTGAGAGGAAACCCGTGGTTGTCCCATTGAGGACATTCCCTTCACTTCCTGCTCCAGAGTGACACCAGTAAGTGAGAGGGAACCCCTGGTTGTCCCCACTGGGGAGATTTTCTTCACTCCCTGTCCCAGAGCCACAGCAGGAAATGAGAGGGAACCCCTGTTTGTCCCCAATGGGAAGATTTTCTTCACTTCCTGTCCCAGAGCCACAACAGGAAGTGAGAGGAAACCCCTGGTTGTCCCATTGAGGACATTCCCTTCACTTCCTGCTCCAGAGTGACACCATGACATGAGAGGGAACCCCTGGATGCTTCCATTGGGGAGATTCCCTTCACTCCTGTCCCATAGTGACACCAGTAAGTGAGAGGGAACCGCTGGTTGTCCCATTGGGGAGATTTTCTTCACTTCCTGCCCCAGAGCAACACCAGGAAGTGAGAGGGAAACCCTGGTTGTCCCCAAGGGTGAGATTTTCTTTACTTCCTGTGCCAGAGCAGGCAGAGAGGGAACACTTGGTTGTCCCCATTGTTCAAACCCAACGGAGCACATGATTGGGGTCACACATCCTCCCCCATGTGACTGCACCCCAAAAAATACCACGGTTGGCTTCCTACAAAAGGACTGTTCTCAGCACGGTCCGCTTCAATCACCGATCCCTCATGTAGGGGGAGGAGAAGCCCCCATCCCGGGTCCCGGTAGAGATCTCAGCTGCCCGCCGGTCCCCGGACACATGCAGCCACCGCGGCGCGCAGGGAGATGAAGTCACCGGTGGGTGGCGCTGGTCGGCTCTTTAAATCGGAGCAGCGCCGGGCCGGCTGCCTCTTGTCAGGAGGGGTCGGGGGGAGGGGAGCGACTCCTCGTGGCCAGCCGCCTTTCCTGCATCATCTGCGGCATGGCCGACTACCTGATCAGCGGGGGGGACCAGCTACGTCCCGGATGACGGGCTCAGCGCACAGCAACTGTTCGGGGCCGGAGACGGGCTGACCTACAAGTGAGTCTGGGGTCACCCTGGGTGGCCCCTCCCCCTCCACACCTGTCCTGGCCCTGACCAGGGACCGACCCTCTCCCCCTGGTCTTATAGTCCCGGGAGATCCCAGAGACCCCCATAGATCCAGGTGACCCGACAGTTCCAGGAGATCTCCCAATTTCAGGTGACCCCATAGTCCCTGGTGAACCCAACAGTTTAGGTGATCCTACAGTTCCCATAATATCGAGAGATCCCACAATTTCAGAAGACCCCATAGATGGTGATTCCACAGTACCCACAGATCTCAGATGTCCCCCCCCCCCCCCCATAGGGTCTAGAACAGTGATGGCGAACCTTTTTGAGCCCGAGTGCCCAAACTGCAACCCAAAACCAACTTATTTCTTTCAAAGTGCCAACACTGCAATGAAACCTGAATATCGAGCTTTTGGTTTAGAAAAAACAACTCGTACAGTAGTGCAAACTAATTCACAGTACAGGGATGACCAGAGACTGCAGACACAGTACAGGGATGACCAGAGACTACAGACAGTACAGGGATGACCAGAGACTGCGTGCATTAGACAGGCCTAGTGCATTACCATAAAAAATGTTTAATAAAAACAAAGTAGGTGTTGTACTCACAAACGACAATATGTCAAGGACATCATAGAAGAACAGGGATCAACACCGCGCTGAGTAACAGTCCACAATGAGGACATCCAACAGGTGACGCGTTTCGTCTGGGACTTGCCCTCTTCCTCAGAGCCAACTCTGAGTTGACAGGTGTACTATATTGTCGATGAGTACAGAGACTGCCTACTTTAGTATTAAACATTTTTTATGGTAATGACAGAGCCTGTGCGCCCTCTTTTTGTTCTTTCCCCATTCAGGGATTCCCCCGGAGAGGGCAGCAGTAAGGGTGCATGACCAGGACTGCTTAAGACACAGTAGCATCGAGTCCATCCCCAAGCGCAGGAGCATTTGTGTTTACAGTACAGGAGATGACCAGAGACTGCGGACAGTACAGGGATGACCAGAGACTGCGGACACAGTACAGGGATGACCAGAGACTGCGGACACAGTACAGGGGATGACCAGAGACTGCGGACACGGTACAGGGATGACCAGAGACTGCGGACACAGTACAGGGATGACCAGAGACTGCGGACAGCACAGGGGATGACCAGAGACTGCGGACACAGTACAGGGGATGACCAGAGACTGCGGACACAGTACAGGGGATGACCAGAGACTGCGGACACAGTACAGGGATGACCAGAGACTGCGGACACAGTACAGGGATGACCAGAGACTGCGGACACAGTACAGGAGATGACCAGAGACTGCGGACACAGTACAGGGGATGACCAGAGACTGCGGACAGTACAGGGATGACCAGAGACTGCGGACAGTACAGGGATGACCAGAGACTGCGGACACAGTACAGGGATGACCAGAGACTGCGGACACAGTACAGGGATGACCAGAGACTGCGGACACGGTACAGGGATGACCAGAGACTGCGGACACGGTACAGGGATGACCAGAGACTGCGGACACGGTACAGGGATGACCAGAGACTGCGGACACGGTACAGGGGATGACCAGAGACTGCGGACACGGTACAGGGGATGACCAGAGACTGCGGACACGGCACAGGAGATGACCAGAGACTGCGGACACGGCACAGGGATGACCAGAGACTGCGGACACGGCACAGGGATGACCAGAGACTGCGGACACGGCACAGGGATGACCAGAGACTGCGGACACGGTACAGGGATGACCAGAGACTGCGGACACGGGTACAGGGATGACCAGAGACTGCGGACACGGTACAGGGATGACCAGAGACTGCGGACACGGCACAGGGATGACCAGAGACTGCGGACACGGTACAGGGATGACCAGAGACTGCGGACACGGTACAGGGATGACCAGAGACTGCGGACACGGCACAGGGATGACCAGAGACTGCGGACACGGTACAGGAGATGACAGAGACTGCGGACACGGTACAGGGGATGACCAGAGACTGCGGACACGGCACAGGGATGACCAGAGACTGCGGACACGGTACAGGGATGACCAGAGACTGCGGACACGGCACAGGGGATGACCAGAGACTGCGGACACGGCACAGGGATGACCAGAGACTGCGGACACGGCACAGGAGATGACAGAGACTGCGGACACGGTACAGGGATGACCAGAGACTGCGGACACGGTACAGGGATGACCAGAGAGACTGCGGACACGGTACAGGGGATGACCAGAGACTGCGGACACGGTACAGGGAGATGACAAGAGACTGCGAACACGGTACAGGAGAATGACCAGAGACTGCGGACACGGTACAGGGATGACCAGAGGCTGCGGACACGGTACAGGGATGACCAGAGACTGCGGACACGGTACAGGAGATGACCAGAGACTGCGGACACGGTACAGGAGATGACCAGAGACTGCGGACAGTACAGATGACTGCTGACCTTTGGGGAGGGAGGGGGAGCGGGTACCGTGAATTTGACAGGTACCCGCTCTTACTTCCGCAGAGTTTTTTTTTTATCTTACCTGTTCCTTTATCCAGCCCGCGCGCTGTCTTCCCTGGCTTCTGTAGTGTGGGCGCTCGTCGGACAGCCGGATGCCCAGTGCGCATGCGCGAGAAGCGCTGCGCTTTGTGATTGGTCCGGCGGCTTCTGGGATCTGTCATGTGTCCCAGGTACCGCCTTACCATTCACAAAGAGCACTGCTTCTTGCGCATGCGCACTTGGGACCCAGCTGTCACGCACACTACAGAAGCCGGGAAGACAGCGCGCCGCTGGATAGAGGGACAGGTACGGTCCCCGCTGCAGAGCTGAGTGGCCGGCCCGGTATTCTGACACGGCGGCGGTGGAAATACCGGACCGGCCCGCTCTATATTCGCTCCATAAGACGCACTGACATTTTCCCCCCCTTTTTTGGGGGAAAAAAAGTGCGTCTTATGGAGCGAAAAATACGGTATTCTCCTGGCGTGCCCACAGATAAGGCTCGGCGTGCCGGCTGTGGCACGCGTGCCACGGGTTCGCCATCACTGGTCTAGAAGGTCCTACAGTTCCAGGTGACCTGACAGTCCCTGGAGACTCCATAGTACCTGCAGATCCCATAGTCCCAAATAACCCCCATAGATCCAGAAGACCCCATGGTCCAAGGTGATCCCCTGTAGTTTTAGGTGAACCCACATTACATTTCAAGGGATGCCATTGTACCTGAAGATCCCAGTGTTGTCTTCTCATAATTATGAGTCTTTCCACAGAGAAATGATGGAGGACGTATGACCAGTGTATATTTATATTTGTACTTTTCCCTCAGCAACGAACAGTCCTTTTCCAGAGAGATGCATTTATTTCGGATAAAGATATTTGTTAAAGATGACAGAAATCCAGCTGAATATTTGTAAATATTACAATGAACAATAACCCTCAGAGTCCCATTTAAGATGCTTCATATCAAACATAGAGATCCTAGACCGTCCAGCATATGTCCGATCTATAATATGCACCTAGGTAGCTTTCATGCAGGGGCATCCCGGGGCAGTTGTGGGGGGGTGCGGCCCGCACCGGGTGACAACGACCACACGGGGTGACACCGGATACGCTCCACAAAAAGGTAAGTTGTAAAGCAAGCCAACGATCCCCGCAGGATAAATCCGATCCATCCTTTTCTTTTCTTTTTTTCGTGGAGCGGGTCCGGTGTCACCCCGTATAGGTTGCATACCGACGATTCCCGCAGGATGGATGGGATCTGTGGACTGGGGAGCATAATGGGGAGTCCAATCCATTATGCTTGATTCGCAGATTCGTTCCATTCTGCGGGGATCGTCGGAGGGGTTGTCACCAAGTGTTATCGCACCGGGTGACACCAACCCTAGGGACACCCCTGCTTCCATGCATACAATAATGTGAGTTATGATCTATACCTGTCCTCCCATATTAATGACAGCTGAGGTACAGACAAGGCAGATGACAGGCAATCATTAGAACCCTTCAGAGAACCTTCCTGTGTCTTGTCTCCTGTCACCCGTGTCCTTGTCACGTGTGTCTTGTGTCCTGTCACCTGTGTCTTGTCACGTGTGTCACTTGTGTCCTGTCACCTGTGTCCTGTCACCTGTGTCGTGTGTCCTGTAACCTGTGTCTTGTCACCTGTCACATGTGTCTTGTCCTGCCTCTTGTGTCCTGTCACCTGTGTCTTGTCTTGTGTCCTGTCACCTGTGTCTTGTCTTGTGTCCTGTCACCTGTGTCTTGTCTTGTGTCCTGTCATTTGTGTCTTGTTTCCTGTCACATGTCGTGTCCTGCCACGTGGTCTTGTGTCCTGTCACATGTCGTGTCCTGCCACGTGTGTCGTGTGTCCTGCCACTTGTCTTGTGTCCTGTCACCTGTGTCCTTTCACATGTCTTGTGTCCTGTCACGTGTGTCTTGTGTCCTGTCACGTGTGTCTTGTGTCTTGTGTCCTGTCACCGTGTGTCTTGTGTCCTGTCACCTGTGTCTTGTGTCCTGTCACTGTGTCTTGTTTTGTGTCCTGTCACTGTGTCCTGTCACCTTGTGTCCTGTCCTTTGTGTCCTGTCACTGTGTGTCATGTGTCTTGTGTCCTGTCACCTGTGTGTCATGTGTGTCGTGTGTCCTGTCACCTGTGTGTCATGTGTGTCCTTGTGTCCTGTCCTGTGTCTTGTCTTGTGTCCTGTCACCTGTGTCTTGTTTTGTGTCTGTCACCTGTGTCTTGTTTTGTGTCACCTGTGTCCTGTGTGTCGTGTGTCCTGTCCTGTGTGTCGTGTGTCTGTCACCTGTGTGTGTGTGTCGTGTCGTGTGTCCTGTCCTGTGTGTGTCGTGTGTCCTGTCCGTGTGTGTGTCACCTGTGTCCTGTCCTGTGTGTCGTGTGTCCTGTCCTGTGTGTCCTGTCCTGTGTGTCGTGTGTCCTGTCCGTGTGTGTGTCGTGTGTCCTGTCCTGTGTGTCGTGTGTCCTGTCACCTGTGTGTCGTGTCACCTGT